AGGCCCGGTGAAAAAAATTTGTGCATGCAGGGGGTCCCTTAGTCCAACCTGTGCCCTCTAGCAGTTTGGGACCCCTCGGGGGATGTCCACCTGCTGGCTTAGGCCCACAACCTGGGGGATTGAGCTTAAGCTGGCAGTCAGACATCCCTCTGGCAGCCTGGGAGCCCTAGGGGGATGTTCACTTGCCAGCGGGGAGCAGGCCTAAGCTGCAGTCGGACATCCTTAGCGCTGCTGAGGAGGCGGGAGAGGCTTCCGCCACCACCGCTGTGCTGGCAGCCATCAGCCTGGCTTGTGGCTGAGCAGAGCTCTCCTTGTGGGAGCACACTGACCACCAGGGGGCAGCTCCTGTATTGAGCGTCTGCCCCTTGGTGGTCAGTGTGTGTCATAGTGACCAGTCATTCCCAGTCATTCTGCTGTTAGGGTCATTTTGCATATTACCCTTTAATTATATAGGATAGAGGCCTGGTGCACTGATGGGGGCTGGGCTGGTTTTCCCAGAAGGTGTCTCGGATCAGGGCGGGGATCCCGCTGGGGTGCCTGGCCAGCCTGGGTGAGAGACTGAGGGCCATTTTCAGGCAGGCCACACCCCCTTCAGGATGGGGGTCCCCACTGGGGTGCCTGGCCAGTCTGGGTGAGGGGTTGAGGGCTGTTTGCAGGCTGGCCACAGCCCCTTCAGGGTGGGGGGGTCCTGCTGGAGTGCCTGGTTAGCCTTGGTGAAGTGCTTAATGGCCCATTTTTCAGTCTGGTCACTCCCCCCCAGTGACCCAAGCTCCCAACCTCTCCTTTTTTTCTTTTCTTTATTTTTTTTTCAGCGCCTCCTAGAGCGGAGGCCAGGGTGGGATGGAAGCAGGTATCTGGGATTATTTATCTTCTATAATTGAAACTTTGTAACCTTGAACAGAGCCCAGGGCAGGGCAGATGGGAAGCTTGGCTTCCTCCATCGCTGGGGGCAAACCAAGCCTCCTGCTCGCTCCAGCTCCGTGGCCGCTGCCATCTTAGTTGGGTTAATTTGCATACTCGCTCCTGATTGGATGGTGGGCGTGGCTTGTGGGTGCCAGTGGAGCAGCGGGGTGATGGTTAATTTGTATGTTTCTCTTTTATTAGTGTAGATATATTTCAGCCCAACTTTGGTAAAAATATTGAAGGCGAGTACATACATGGTTGGGGAAAAAGTAGGTTTACAGTTGTTTGTATGGAAAATAATACAACAATTAATAAATAATAATACAAGAATAAAGTCTGTGTTTTGCATACTTACAACTGTAAACCTAATCTTGCCTGACCCTATATACATATACATATACAGATACATATACATATACATATACATATACATATACATATACATATACATATATATGTATATATACAAATATATAGTATTTGCATATTGGCTGCTTTCCCCCACTAGACTGTAAACTCAATGGAGACGGAAATTTTCTTGTTCACCCTCATCTAACACAATATTGACAATTTTTGAGCAAAATTATTTTTGTGAGGGCTGTGTTTAGCTGCATCTGTGGTCTGTACTCATTTTATGCACCCACCCTTAGTTATGGCAATAAAAAATGTTTTATCAGTTACTTCTATGAAGAATACACAATAGAAACAAACTATTAAGATTTGGAGGAAAAAGTATTATTAAAAACTCTCGAATGAGAATTGTTTATAGATATTTTAAGCATAAGTGCAGATATGAAATGTTATGTTCATAAAAGCAACATTGAGGGCCTCATTAAAGCATTTGAAAGATTTTACAAATCCATTTTTAACATATTTTCTATTTTACTTTTTCTTTTAATTACATAATTTGAAGAAGATATTTTTTAACTAGAGATGCATGCAATATACCATGTAAATATTATTGTCTTTTACAGGTGGACCACAGCATCAAAAATTTGGGAAGGACTATCCTACCAACAATTATTTCCCTTCTCTTTTTCCTTTCTAGCAGGACTCATTTTCACCATAGAAGATGAAGATGCCAAACATGTTTTTCCATAGGTTTTGCCAAAGGAGAAATCGGATAGTCCAATCTTAGCCAATGGAACCTGTAAAGATTCCTGGTGACTTAAAGAGTTGCCTTCCTAAGAAAAACTGATCAACCCAACTCAATGTCCATTTCTTCATTGGATGTAATACCTTAATTCCTTGTGAATACAGAACTGCTGCAGCCATGTGTGAGCATGAGACTAAATATTGCCAAAGAATGCAGGCAGCTTCTAGAAGCTGAAAAAAAGCAAGGGAATTGATTCTTTTCTATAGTCTCCAGAGGGAACACAGTCCTACAGACCCATTTTAGGCTTCTGACCTCTAACACTGTAAAATAATAAGTTTGTGCTGCTTTAGGCCACTAATTTTATGGTAATTTGTTATAGCAGCAATAGGAAACTAATACAGTGGTTAAGAACTTGGGTGCTACTATCAGACTATTGAGTTTAAATCCTTCACCTACTATTTACTACATATAGAACTTTGGGGAAATTACTTAAATTTTCATTTTGAAAAATGGGATGATCCATTTTGAATTGATTTTTGTACATGAGGACAAACTGTAATCTAGTTTCATTCTTTTGCATGTGGCTTTCCAATTTTCCCAGCACCATTTATTGAAGAGGCTTTCTTTACTCCATGGTGTCTTTTTGGCTTCCCTTTGAGTCCACAGGCCGACGCTCTATCCACTGAGCCAAACCGGTTTTGGCTATTTTTACCTTTGAATTACCTAAGTAATAACTGTTAGGTCGGAGAGAGAGCCCAGGATCGGATACATGCAGACATGTGACGAGATAATGGACTCCCCCTGGCATGTCTAACAGATCAGCATGCCAGACACAGATACAGGCTTCTCCCTGAATCCACAATGACCCCCACACAGATACTGACTCATTCCTGAATACCTTGATGACCCCCCTGCAGCTGAAGCTTCCTCAACTGAATACCTCAGCTCATGTCCCCGCCCCTCACCCAACCGCAGTATAAAAAAAGCGCCTCCCTCCATGTTGGCGTGAATCCACGTGCCCTGTCTTTGGGGGTACGTGGGTCTCCCGGGGACGCAGAAATAAACCTTTTCCTTTCCTTTCTTTTCTGATTCACTGGACTCTCTATTTCTTGCGCCGCCTCCTGAGCCACCTAACCTAACACATCTGACTCTTAGGAATTTTTAAATAAACATAATAATTGTTCTGCTGTGGTCGAAAACGGGCCACATCCTGCCGACTAAGCCAATTAATGTCAACGTAAAAAAACCATTGAAACCTGTAAAGAATTTTGTGAGTTTATTTGAGCCAAACTGTCGACATATGCCGGGAAGCAGAACCTCAACGAATTGAGATAGTGCTCCAGAGAATGGCAGGGTTACATCCGTATTTATACATGAAATTCATTGGTGACAGATTTAAGGAGGTGGGATTAAGCGAAGCGGGGAAACTTCTGTGATAGGATAAAAAATAAAATGATGGACACATACTTAGATGGGTGCAGGAACAATTAACATGATGATGAAGGGATTTGTGGTATCTGTCCTGGGACCCTGCACACCTGGTTGTGCCCCAGGGGCTCCATAAAAAAAGGGAAGTCACAAGTTACCCAGACATTTCAAGGACATGTTATCTTAGATGCAAAAAGACAGATAGGCTCAGTTACGGTAAAGGTTGACCTTATCAGTGAAGATATCGGCTTAGGATGTAACTGCCCACCATAACTGCTTTTAGTTAAGGTTTAATTTCAGACCATCCTCTGTGGTTACTTTAGGTCTGCAAAACTGCCATGCAGGCCTCTCCTGAGCTTGTCAGTTCAGCATGTGGCCCCTTTTCGACCACACTACTAAAAGTTATCAATTAATGGAGATATTTGTACTTTCTCTCCTATGAATCAAATGTTTCTTTTTACATAGTCATTGAGGAGGAGTATAGGAGTGTACACTTTAGGAGTTATGTATACAGCATCTCATTTGATCTTTACAACCAATCATGAAATGGGTATAATTTAAGTTTTCATACAAGAAAACTGAGGCTGTGGGGAGGTTAATTTTTTGCAGGTAACATAGCTAGTAATTGGACAAATCAAAGCGGTTTGTTCACCACTGCATTAACTACACTTATTTGCTGGATGATGAACAAATATGTGCAAATAACCACACCAGTGGGCACTCAAATAATGCGGGATTTAGAGTAACTGACACCAGGACACGTCAGGTGATCCACACTGGCACAATTCCCAGCTCTTTACCACCCATCCCTTGTTTTCAGAAAAGTCAGAGGAAGCGGGAGAGACCTCTGATCGCTTAGAACTCTGACGGTATCCCAGGAAGTAGCGCCGCTGAGTCACAAAGGCGGCTACGTAGGGACCGCCCGGGACAAAAACAAGGGCGGTGTCTCCCCGGAGGCCAGTGCGCAGCCGCAGAGCTGGACCCGCCCATCGCTCCGCCCCCGGGAGAGTCGGAAACAGGATGGAGGAGTACCATCGCCACTGCGAGGAGGTATCGCCACTCTGCCGCCTTAGAGCGACCCCAGCCCCCTCCCGCCTCAGCGCGTGGCTCTCTGCCGTGTGCTCTCCCGGCCCCCGGAGGCCCCGAGAATTGGGTCTCCTCCGCCAGGCCGGGGGTTCACCCCTCCCGTCTCCCTTCCCCCACACCGAGGCCTGGAGGGTGGGCTGAGAGGCCTGGGTGGCCAGGGCGGTCAGTAGCGATTGGGGTTGGCAGTGGGGGCAGGGTCGAGGGGTGGAAAGCCTGACTCGGGATGCGTGAGGTGGGGGTGGGTTGCAGGGCACCGCCGTCTGCAGGGACAGACTTTTCAAACCCTCTGTCCCTTGGCGTCCCCAAAGTAGGTGCCACCGCCCTGCAAGAGAGGCCCTAGTTGCAGAGCCGCTCCAGCTCCCTGTCGCTCTGTCCTGGGTGCCTGAAAGAAGGTGCTTCATGGATTAAGAACCCTTATTTACTGACTCAGACTTCGTGAAACCTCACCAGAATCCCATGGTGTCCGTTATTTTCCTGTTACTGGTGGCAGCTCTGACTTTCATGGTGGCTTGCCCAAAGTTAAAACTGCAAGGAATGCCAGATGCTCCAATTTGAACCCAGGCCTCGACCTCCCAACAACTCTTGCTTCACTTTAACCAAGACAGGCCTGCAAGTGCAGAAGAGACAAAGACATTTTCTGTCTCACAGAAAATACAGCCACAGTTGAATGGTGCGGTGAAAAAGTAGGCGCATAGTGGAGGGGCAGCATAAAATAATATATTATAACACCCCCCTACCCCCCGCCGGAAGGGACTTCTGGTTTATCCATCGTTAGGATGTGGGCTTCTATAAAAGCTAAAGCTACATTTAAATTAATTAGTTATGTGATGCAGGTAGCAAACATACTTAACAGATTGGTGCTAAATTATTATTTTAGAAATTGAACCACAAACAATTTCACTCTCAGGCATATACCCCAGCAAGTGCTACTCTGACTCTTAAGAGGCTTCTGTATGGCAGTACATCCTAAATACTTATATTTAAAAAGAAATGAAATTACATGTTACCGTGACCACACCATACATCCGATTATGTATTTGTGATCTTCCAAATCAAAGTGGAATGGCCACCCTTTAATTTGTAGACCACTTTCAAAAATAGATGAGGACCTTATTTTAAGGTGAAATGAACATTTTAATAGGGTAAAAATGTGTGGGCTGTTTTCATAATATTCCTAATAACTTAGGGTATTTTTATTCCTTTATTGGTGAAGTCTGTGGTATAACTGAGTTGAAAATACTTTACATCTATATTCAAGATGATACTTATTTTCAGAATTTACCTGTTTTTTAAACCATTTTTGAATTGTATAGTGGGATTTGCAAAAATGCTGATGTCAGAAAGCTTCTCCATGGATTAACCTGAAGTATTTTGGTGTAGATTTCAATCTTATCACATAGCCTAGTTCTCTACTATGGGAGACAGACACTTGGATGTCATTAATAGTTGCTTTTAACTCAGGAGTCAATCAAGTCACTTTAAAGGAAAGACTAAGTTGCCAGACCTATTATATAGTATTAAAGGGTCATTAATTGACAATGGTCAAGTATTTTCATAATCCTTAATTCAGGAAAGCCATATTTTTGCCTACCATAAGTTAAAAACAAAATTAATCTATTAAGCACTCTGTTCTCATGGACCACCTCGTTCTCCCTTCACTGCAGCCATCTCCTGTATACTGATGACACATCTTTATATCCACCTCCTGCTGTTTCCTGCAATCTCCAATGCAGTGATTCTCAATCTAGGGTGTTCATCAGAATCACCAGTAAAGCACTTTTAAAAAATGTACTTGCCCAGGTTCTGACCCAGACCAAATGAATCAAAATCTCCAGGGAGGTAGGTGGGAAAAGCAATCTATAATATTAAGTGTTTGAGGTAGGATTAGTAGCCTCAGTAGACTGGATTCCCCTTATATTCACTAACACTTGTCTAAGCCAGCCTAGGAGATTCTGTTTACCACAAATAAGATGAAGTCTGTGTTACAAGCAGCTTTGTCTTTTATTTTCCCCATTTAGGTTGGTTTCAATGTGGATGAAGCCCACAACCTTGTTAAAGAGGTAAGTTATACATCTTGTTCATTTTGAGGGCTGCTGCATTGATTGCAATTTTAAAAAGCTGTGTTTTGACTTTCAGTACAAAGTTAGAAACCTTAGTATTAAAACAAGATTTTTTTTTTACTTTTCTTTATTTTTTTAATATATTTTATTGATTTTTTACAGAGAGGAAGGGAGAGGGATAGAGAGCTAGAAACATCGATCAGCTGCCTCCTGCACACTCCCTACTGGGGATGTGCCCGCAACCAAGGTACATGTCCTTGACCAGAATCGAACCAGGGACCCTGCAGTCCGCAGGCCAACGCTCTATCCACTGAGCCAAACCAGTTAGGGCGATTTTGTGTATATATATATATATATATATATATATATATATATATATATTTTATTGATTTTCCACAGAGAGGAAGGGAGAAGGACAGAGAGCTAGAAACATCAATGAGAGAGAAACATAGAACAGCTGCCTCCTGCACACCCCCTACTGGGTATATGCCGCAACCAAGGTACATGCCCTTGACCGGAATCAAACCTGGGACCCTCGAGTCTGCAGGCCGACGCTCTATCCACTGAGCCAAACCGGTTAGGGCCTAAAACAAGATTTTTAATATTTGTTCACTAACTCTTTACAGGAGTGCTCCTATGTTTGTTTGTTTTTAATCCACCTACTCTCCCTACTGCTTTTCCTTAATGGGAAACTAAGAGCACTCATTTTTCTTTCAAGTTATCTAAACAACAGAAAAACATCATGGGGCTCTGGACCCCCTGTAAATAGCTATTAATTAAGATTTAGACTTCTCAATTAGCATTAACCAGGAGGCCCACTAGATAATGAAGTCCTTAACCTGTCTATTCCCAGGGCCAAACTGAGAAAGTGGACACATAGCAGGCACTTGTAACTCACTTTTTCTTTGAGAATTTATGTGGGGGAAATTCTATTACTGACAACAGATAAAATGTATGCATATCACTGATAAGTGAGTGGTTCTAAGACTTCAGAGGGAATTAGCATAGGGGCTCAGAGTAAGAAATCTAAGGACAGAAAATAAAGGAGATAAGGAGATTAGAAAGAAATAAGGAAAACATAAATACCTGCTGAAACTATCGAGAAAGTACTGAAATGTTTTAAAATAGTGCTCTCTCACTTTCTCAAGTCTTTCCAATGCCAGAGCAGGGAAGAGGATAGACATGGAGCTGAAAGTCACCTGGAGCAAACCTGAGATTTGTTTGAAGTCTCTTATTTCATATAAAAACTTCAAGTGAAGCCTGCTTTTGACTCCATAATATATCAGAGTTTGTTTTTTATTTAAAACTAGTAGCCCATCGCGCGATATTGCGCGCAGTAGGCCACCCGCCGCTTCCGCAGGAGCGGGAACCTCAGCGCACCGCAGGGATCCGCGCTACTTCCACAGGAGCCATGCGGCTTCCGCAGGAGGTGGAAGCGAGCCGCCTGCGCCCACGGGAGCCAGGAGGGAGCCACGCTGATTCCGCAGGAGGCAGGAGGGAGCTGCGCTGCTTCCACGGGAGGCAGGCCCGCCGTCTCCTCTCTGGGCCTGCACTCAGCTGTGGAGGCTGCGGGCTGGCACCCCTGTCCATGTGTGTGTCCACTCCGGCTCCGGGGGGCCCGCCTGAGCCAGGGTGCGGCAGCTCGCCGGCCCTGTCTCTGTCTCCATCTCCACTCCGGGCCTCACCTGTGCCTGAAACCTCCTTCTGTCTGGTCATGACCCCTTAAGGTGTCCTGGCCTAATTTGCATATCCCCCCCCTCTATATTTTTTTTCGTTTAAATTATTTGTATTACTTAACTCCTTCTTGCAAGTACTTAAGTAAACCAGTGCTCTAAAATGCACCTACCTAGCCACCACCAAGTATGTGTATGCCAGTTTAAGAAGCATGGTTTTTTTAATTTAATAAAACAGCACATGCTCATCATTTTAAAAATCCAACAGAACAGAAAAGCTTACAATGAAAAGCAAGAATCCGTTCTCCACCCTTTCCCATACCCAGTTCCATTCCCTAGAGGAAATCCCATCAGTGCACAACTGTTTTTATTTTCTAAGAGAGATTACTTATATATCTCCAAATAATGTTTATACCATCATTTCTTGATTTATGAATTATAGACAACATTCCTAGAGCTCCTGCTATGAGAGATGAAAATTTAGTTCCCTCAGATCACCTGCTTCTTCCCTCAATAGTGAGTTCAGTATTTTTACTTCAATATATTTACACTGTTAGGAGCATGTTTCTTTTCTACTCCTGGCATTTCCTTCCATACACAGGATTTTTCCTTAACATTTCTGGCCTCTTGTCCCACCTGTCATTATTCCTCCCCATGGAGGTACAGTAAATTGCCTGTTTGATGAGTGACAACCATTGATCCATCATTCTCATTTGGAAAAACAAATCTCCCAAATGCCTTGGACTTAAGTATTTGTTTTCTCCTTTCCTCTCCACCCAGACCAACAAAAGGCACCAGCCTGGCTAAGTGTTTCTCTCTGTTGACTCAGCCTTTCCCTTGGATGCCTCTTCCGAGGTCTGAACTGAACACGTAGAGAGATAGCAAGGTCCAAACTCCAACCTATTCTTTACCAATAATAAAGATAATATTTTATCCTCTTTCTAGTGACTCTTGTCTTTTCATTTGGCTCAGAATGTTAGTAAAGAATAAGGTCTATTTAAAAGGCTCCTCAAATAACCCAGCATCATTTTCTTCATGTTCCATCAACCACAAACACTTTGAAAAAATGAGGTTGTTATCACTCCTGCCCTTCCCATGACCTCTATGCCAACTTCCACCTCCCAGCTGACCGCATTTTGCTTTTGTACTATCAAGGCATTGAAAATATTTGCATTGTTTTAAAAATTAAATATTCCTGGGTTACATAGTTCTAATACATATTTCTGAACTATTAAAATATGGCAGGATTTTCAGGTGCTTATTTAGGACTCAAGCTGACCCTAGCTGTACTAGGCCAGACCTGATTGAGTTTTGGGTGAACTTGTGCACCAGAACATTCAGGCAAGTAAGGCACTGTCTCAGGACAGGCTGATAAGGTGTTCAATGCCTACCAGGGGTCCTCAAACTACGGCCCGCGGGCCACATGCGGCCCGCCGAAAACATTTATCCGGCCCGCCGGGTGTTTTTGCCGCTGCTGCCTGTTGCTGAATTTGTTCATAGTTTTTTTTTAAACTATAGTCAGGCCCTCCAACGGTCTGAGGGACAGTGAACTGGCCCCCTGTTTAAAAAGTTTGAGGACCCCCCTAGACTAAAGGCAGGTAAGGTCGGCTAAAACACAGGCCCCAAGAGCCATACCCACAAAACAAGCCTGCTTCCTAGGCCAGCTCATTTTTTTTCTAGGATTTGGCACAGTTAAAAATAACTCAGGGCTATTAAAAGTGTTTATAAATACCTTACCCACAATGCAGATGCCACTAGACTAATTCCTCTGCCAGAATTGATTCCCAAAGAGAACTACTTGTCTATTTGCCTAACAGGAGAGCCAAATTGATATTTCAAATATTGTTCTTAAGATTTTGACTTACCATCACATAGTGTCTAAAAGATGTTAAGTGATTATTTTTCCAATAATATAATTTCCAATATAGGACTAAAAAAAACACATAATGACCAAAGGCAGGTATTTCTACGGTCTCTTATTTCTTTGGTATATATGACATATATTCTATAATAATAAAAGCATAATATGCAAATTGACCAAACGACCAAACAGTAGAACCACTGGACGACCACACTATGACACCCACTGGTGCCAGGCCAGCCAAAGTGGGTGCCATGCGACTGGTTGGGGGGCCCCGCCATCGCCCCATGATCACCTTGCAGAGGGAGGCCCAGGCCACCCTCTGCGGAGTGATTGATCTGGGGACTCTGCGGAACCCGAGAACCAGGGGTGTGTGACAACGGATGCGGGCAGCGCCAGGCCAAGGCAGGTGAGGGCGGGGGGTGGGGCCGGGGCTGTGAGAGCAATAGCTGGGGGAAGGAAGGCATACCCTTGCACGAATTTCATGCATTGGGCCTCCAGTAAATATATAAATTTACATATATAAAAGTATGTGTGTATATATGTCTATATATTAACATTTAAAGTAATATTTGGCCTGCTGAGATATGTTATTTTGTTCAAAAGACATCAATTTTAGAAAACAGTAAATCAGTTTTCTAGATTCATACTTAAACATCACTTTCAGAGTAAGCTCCAGGATGCCTGGCAGTATATAACAAAACAGAGAAGCACTGGCCGGGTGGGTCAGTTGGTTGGAGAGTCATCCCATATACCAAAAGGTTGCAGGCTTGATCGGTCAGGTGCATACTGGAGGCAACCGATCGCTGTTTCTCTCTTTCCCTTCCTCTCTCTCTCTCTCTAAAAATCAACAAAAGCAAAATGCGGTCAGCTGGGAGGTGGAAGTTGGCATAGAGGTCATGGGAAGGGCAGGAGTGATAACAACCTCATTTTTTCAAAGTGTTTGTGGTTGATTGAGAGAGTGAGAGAGCACTATATTAAAACATTTCAGTACTTTCTCGATAGTTTCAGCAGGTATTTATGTTTTCCTTATTTCTTTCTAATCTCCTTATCTCCTTTATTTTCTGTCCTTAGACTTCTTACTCTGAGCCCCTATGCTAATTCCCTCTGAAGTCTTAGAACCACTCACTTATCAGTGATATGCATACATTTTATCTGTTGTCAGTAATAGAATTTCCCCCACATAAATTCTCAAAGAAAAAGTGAGTTACAAGTGCCTGCTATGTGTCCACTTTCTCAGTTTGGCCCTGGGAATAGACAGGTTAAGGACTTCATTATCTAGTGGGCCTCCTGGTTAATGCTAATTAAGAAGTCTAAATCTTAATTAATAGCTATTTACAGGGGAATCCATAGCTCCATGATGTTTTTCTGTTGTTTAGATAACTTGAAAGAAAAATGAGTGCTCTTAGTTTCCCATTAAGGAAAAGCAGTCTAGGGAGAGTAGGAGGTTTGCTTAAAGTCATCAACTTGGGGATGGTAAAGACAGAATTAAAACACTGTTGCCCTGACCCCTGGTCCATTGGCCCTCCTAACTCTTATGCTATTGCATATTCTAGGAGAATAATTTGATGCCCATTCCTTTCTTCAACTCCTCTAAATTTAACTTTTATTTCTACATTTTATCATTAGGGAAGATTTCATACTGCCCAGCTTAACATTTCATATTAATTTGTGCCTTTCTGAATTTTAACTACAATTGTAGTAAATGAAAGCTGCATATGTGCACATGCTCGTGTCTGTGTGTGTGTGTGTGTGTGTGTGTGTTTGTGTGTTTGTGTGTGATTAAGCTGGATTCTATAAATTAATTGAATGAGTGCTTTATCATCCAGGCTCTATCACTCAAATATAAAACAATAACAGCAAAATTAGGGAAAGACAAATACTGTATACTCACTTATATGTGGAATCTAAAAAAGTCGAATTCATAGAAACAGAGAGTAGAAAGGTGATTTTTGAGGTCTGGGGGAGCCGGAGAAACAGGGCAATATAGATCAAAAGGTATAAACTTCCAGTTAAAGATGAATAATTTCTGGTAACCTAATGTACAGTGTGTAATTACAGTTAACACTGTATTGTATACTTGAAAGTTGCTTGAAAGTAGATCTTAAATGTTCTCTACACACATGCAAAAATAATAACTGTGAGAAGACTAGTTCATTAATTCACCTTGTCATAATAATTATTTCACAATATATACATATATCGAATCATCACATTGTATACCTTAAAGTTACCTAATATCGCCCTAACCGGTTTGGCTCATTGGATAGAGTGTCGGTCTGCAGACTCAAGGGTCCCGGGTTCGATTCCGGTCAAGGGCATGTGCCTTGGTTGCGGGCACATCCCCAGTGGGGAGTGTGCAGAAGGCAGCTGATCGATGTTTCTCTCTCATCAATGTTTCTAACTCTCTCTTCCTCTCCCTTCCTCTCTGTAAAAAATCAATAAAAATATATTTTAAAAAAAGAAACAGATAAAGTTACATAATATCATATGTCAATCATCCTATCTAATAAAGAGGGAATATGCTAATTGACCCTCACTCTGTCACAGAGATGGCGGCGCCCACAGCCAATAAGGAGGGAATATGCTAATTCAGTGCCCCGCCCTCAAAGATGGCAGCACCCACAGCCAAAAAGGAGGAAATATGCTAATTGCCACGCCCACAAAGATGGCAGTTTCCACAGCCACAAGATGGCGGCACCCAGTCCCCTCAGCCCCGCTGGGGTGGCAGGCATGTGGAAAGGCATGTGCCTGCCTATGGAGACCTCTAGTCCCCTCAACCCCCCAGCTGCCCAGGGCCGGCCTGAGGTGCAGGCCAGCCTTGGATGGCAGCTGCCCAGCCACCCAGGGCCACCCGAGGCTCAGGTAACCAGGGCCAGCCGAGGCTTGTGCTGCTAGCAGTGGCAGCAGCAGAGGTGTGGTGTGATGGGGCGTCGCCTTCCCCTGATTGCCGGGTCGCCTCCGGCCCCTGAGGGCTCCCGGATTGTGAGAGGGGGCAGGCCGGGCTGAGGGACCCCCCCCTCCAGTGCATGAATTTTCATGCACTGGGCCTCTAGTATTTCAGTAAAACTGGAAAAAGAAAATAAGCAGTAATAATGATAATTATGATGATAATAATAATATCTAGCATGACTTATTGTGATTACACTGTGGCCATCACTGTGTTTGAGCACATGGCATTCATTATCTCCTTCCAGACTCACAACAACCTGCTGAGATGAAGCTGTTATATCTTTAAGCATTAGGAAAATATGGGCTTCAGGAGGTTAAGTCACTTGCAAAAGGATACACAGGAAGTAGGTGGGAGTGGTGATCTTAAAACCTAAGATTGTGATTCTAAACCAGTGCTCTTAATCAAATATCAGAAGCGAATAGAAGTAAATATTGTGGAAAATTATTTAACTTTCTTTTTATAGGGCACCCCAGAAATAGTGTTTGTTGATGATTTGCTTTTAATAGCAAGTATGCTAGTTTTATAGCTAAGCAATTCTGTGATATGAATGAGAATGTAATTATTATACACTAGGGGCCCAAGGCACAAATTTGTGCACCCTGAAAGGAACTGTGGGCTGCAAGGCTGCAGTGGGCACAGGGGCAGGTCTCAGCCCATCCTCTGTGCCCCCGTCTGGCCCCTTCCACTGTGGCCCCCAGTCCCCTGTCTGCCAGCAGCTCTGCTCCTGCCACAGCCTTTCCCATGCGCTGATGGCACTGGCCCACTTGCACCCGCTGATGGTGCAGAACGATTGGAACTGGCGCCAGTAGTGCCAATCACCCCTCAGGAGCAGTGGGAGGTGGAGAAGCCCTGAAGGGCAATCAGGGCCGTCATCCATCACTCGCACCCGCACCCACTGATGGGGCCGAGTGATCGGGGCCGGCGCCACTGGCAGCAGGTGCGAGCAGCAGGCAGGACCACAACACGCGGGAGCAAAGAATTTTCAGTAACCACCAGAGGCTCACCCTGATGACAGCAACCAGTGTCCTGCCACGGCTGATGCCCACTATGTTCCACCCTCTGCCACCTGCTTCTGATGAACTGGCAGGTCACGGCTTGATTCCTGGTCAGGCCATATTCCTGGGTTGCAGGCTCAATCCCCAGTGTGGGGTGTGCAGGAGGCAGCCAATCAATGATTCGCTCTTATCATTGATGTTTTTATCTCTCTCTCCCTCTCCCTTTCTCTCTCAAATCAATAATAATATATTTTTAAAAAATCCCAACTGTTTCAAAGCCATTCTTTAACCAATTTATAACACCCTTTTAAAATCTCTACTGGCATAATCCTTTTATGATATAACTTAACACCCTTGATTAGTCTTCCCTGTGTTACAGAATTATTAGCTTCTTTGCTAGATTAAGTTCTTTACAACAGAGGCCATGTCATATTTATCTTTATGTGACCATAGTATCTCATAGTGAGATAATGCATGTGGAAATGCTTTGAAAATGCCTAAACAATTAGAGACACTGCTTACTAAATACTTACTAGATGCATATTTTCTAAGATGCTCTATTGGGTTATAAATGCATTTTGTATTTTGCATACATTTTTGCTGCAATTTGTATAATTTGTTTAATTGTCCTCTGCCCTTTTAGTGTATAGATGGAGTTTTGGGTGGTGAAGATTATAATCAGAACAACATCAACCAATGGACTGCAAGTATTGTGGAACAATCCTTAGCACATTTGGTTAAGTTGGGAAAAGCTTATAAATATATTGGTAAGTGTTACTATCCTTCCTTAGAAGTTCACTCACCTTTGTTCTTATAATTTTCTCTGAATTTAGAGACTATAATTGAATGATAGAAACTGTAGTTGGATATTAATCCTATCTAATAAAAGAGTAATATGCAAATTAACCGTCACTCCACAACAAAGATGTCAGTGCCCATAGAGGCTGGGCAGGATGCTGGCGGCGTCACCCCTGCAACGTGAGCCCAGCAGGCAAGCGGGGCCGCAGGCAGCACCCAGCAGGGCCTGCTGGGCAGTGGTGGCAGCAACCTGCAGGCAGCACCCAGCAGGACCTGTTGGGTGGTGGTGGCGGCAACCATGAGCAGGCAAGCAGGCCCACGGGCAGCACCCAGCAGGGCCTGCTGGGCAGTTGCTGCGGAGACCGGGGGAGCAGGCAATCGGGCCGCAGGCAGCACCTAGCAAGGCCTGCTGTGCGGTCGCCATGGCGACCTGCAAACAGGCAAGCGGGGCCCACAGGCAGCACCCAGCAGGGCCTGCTGGGCGGTGGTGGCAGCGACCTTCAGACAGCACCCAGCAGGGCCTGCTGAGCGGTTGCCGCGGAGACCAGGGAGCAGGCAATCAGGGCCGCAGGCAGTACCCAACAGGGCCTGCTGGGCAGTCGCTGCAGAGACCAGGGAACAGGCAATTGGGGCCCGCAGGCAGCACCCAGCAGGGCCTGCTGGGCGGTGGCGGCAGCGACCCGCGAGCAGGCAATCGGGGCCCGCAGGCAGCATCCAGCAGGGCCTGCTGGGTACTTGAGGCAGCGACCCGTGGGCAGGCAAGCAGGGCCCGCAGGCAGCACCCAGCAGGGCGGTTGAGGCAGCGACCTGCGGGCAGGCAAGTGGGGCCCACAGGCAGCACTCAGCAGGGCCTGCTGGGCAGTCACCGCGGAGACGGGGAAGCAGGCAAGCGGGGCCTGCAGGCAGCACCCAGCAGGGCCTTCTGAGCGGTGGTGACAGCGACCTGCAGACAGCACCAAGCAGGGCCTGCTGGGCTGTCACTGCAAGCGGGCCTGCAGGCAGCACCCAGCAGGGCCTGCTGGGTGGTCGCCGTGGCGATCCCTGAGCAGGCCAGTGGTGCCCGCAGGCAGCACCCAGCAGGGCCTGCTTGCCCATCCTGGTGGTGTGGAGCAGGCAGTCCCTGTAGAACCACGGGGAGTGGGCCCAAGCTGTCAGTAGCACATCCCCTGAGGGCTCCTGAATTGGAGAGAGTGTAGGTCGGGCTGAGGGACCTCCCCCCTGCCCTGCACCCCCCCCCCCATGCACGAATTTCATGCACCGGCCTCTAGTAGGGTATAAAGGACTTCTGACTTATTCATCCAAAGATAATATATGATAATATCTAAAAGATAGAGATAACTTTTGCTATTCAAAAGCCTTTTCTTGGTAACATCACCTTTTATATTTACATCAGTTACTTCTTTCCACCACAACCTACTGGGCACTACTGTCTACTTTTCAGTAACCACATGCCTCCTTACATGTAGGACTGTGAAGTACCACACAATAATTATTTCTAAAGTGGAATATTTTCTTTGACTGAATTATGCCCATGAGGCAGGGCACATAACCACTGGTTATGGCAATGGGCAACAAACAGACTGGATCCAGTGGGGACAAAATCATGGTGTTAAATAATCAAGGTGAGGGCTTTTTTATTTTTTAAATTCTTACTTGTTAAATGCTTTGTTTTCTATTATTTTTACACCTTTTAAAGCCAAAAACTCAAACACTTAGATCTTGGATATCTTTTCCTTTGTTTATAAGCATCCTCACTCTGTGACTTTATTTTTAGTGACCTGTGCAGTGGTCCAGAGGAGTGCATATGGCTTTCACACAGCCAGCTCATGCTTTTGGGATACCACATCTGATGGTAAGAGACCTTAAGCTGATTCAAACAAAATCCAACTACTAACAAAGTCAAACAGTGTACTTATTGTCAAATGCTTATTTATTTCTAATTCTGAAAAAAACTTTATCAATAGAATTGCTTCGTATCTAACTATAACAAGTATGTCTTCAGACAAATATGAAATATTAACATTTAACAGATTGCAGGAAATAAGATATTAAAACCTATGAAAATATATTATCTGGTAATTTCATTGTTTTGCTGGTATTTCAAAGTCCTTTTGTGTGTGTATTTTCAGGAACCTGTACTGTGAGATGGGAGAACCGAACCATGAACTGTATTGTCAATGTTTTTGCCATTGCTATTGTCCTGTGACATCCTAAAAATGTTTGGCCAAAGCCATTCACTTAAGAATTTGTCAGTGTATCCTTTCTAAAAAGAGTAAGTTACTTATTAATACTCTAGATGACAAGTGTGCAATATGCTTCAAAGCTATCAACAAAAACTGAATATTATAAGCAAGCAATCTCATACATAGTAAGTTGGCAGATTTGCTCATATTCTATATATACAGAATCATTTCAATAGGAAAAAATTAATGTCAGCAAAAAACAAATACAGAAACATGGCATGACTTGAAAATACAACCTTATATTTACACCAGCTTTTTACTAACATGTACCTAAGGAGTTAGGGAAATCCATTCAGATAATAAAATTCTCTTTCAGCTTCAGAGAAGTTAACAGGGATAAATATATGAACAAAAAGCACTGCTAGGATAAATCTGGAGAAAATAATAATTAGCTAACGCTTTTTAAAAAAATATATTTTTATTTATTTCAGAGAGGAAGGGAGAGGGAGAGAGATAGAAACATCAATGATGAGAGAGAATCATTGATCGGCTGCCTCCTGCACGCCCCCTGCTGGGGATTGAGCCCGCAACCCGGGCTTGTGCCCTTGACTAGAATCGAACCTGGGACCCTTCAGTCCGCAGGCTGAAGCTCTATCCACTGAACCAAACCAGGTAGGGCTAGCTAACACTTCTTAAGTTTGTATTTCTTCTCAGTTGTACATATGATTTAGTAGAAAGCAATTGTTCTTTTTTTCCTCTCAACTAATATTGCAGTAGCAACTACTATTAACTTGTTTACATTTTTTGAGAACTGTTAAAACAGTTTTTAAAATTTCAAAATCTTGGATTTACATTTGAGGGCAAATTAAATCTGGTAACCTTGAATTCCCTTGTTAAACAAAATGAGTTATGGTGTATGATGAAAAGCATCTGCCTAACAGCTGCCTTACAATTCACGCATTCCATGTGTAACAAATACTATTGAATGCCTGTTTGTTATGAGCATATTTTTCTGCTAGTCATTATAGTTATCTGCTGTTAAAATACTAAGTTTCTTTTGGTACCTGTTCAGTTGGACTGTTAACATTTATGTTTGTGGGAAGAAAAAAAGTTGTTTACAAGAGAGGGAAAAGTGAATCTGGTTATTTATGTAGCAAAGCGAAAAGCGCTTATTGCTGACAGAGAATCATAACTTTAAGAATTTTTAAGAATTGCTCCTAGCAAGTAAAAAATGCATAAAACATGCAGTTCTTAGTTAAAGGCCTTATTAGAGGAGTCTTACTATACAAGTAGTAAATTTTATCATTGTTTTAGTTACAACCATCTGTAAATAATTTTAAATGCTTATGTGGGATTCAAATTAATTGGAATAAAGTATAAATTAAAAGTATATAATCATTGGCAAGTTATTGAAAATCTCAGGGCTTATGAAATGTAGTTAAATTTATTTAAAAAACTAGAGGCCCTGCGCACGATTAAATCATGTGCGTGTAGGGTCTCCTAGGCCTAGCCTGCCATCAGGGCCATGTCCGCCACCCCGCGACGCTCCTCAGATGCTGCCGGCGCCCCACAACACTCTGGGGATGCTGCCGGCACCCCAGGAAGGTGGGGGATAGGAGGGTGGGGAGGACTGGGGGGTGGGGTGGGGGTAGGGCCCAAGAGGTGCTCCATGCACCTCCTGGTGACCAGTCATTATGGTGTTACGACGTTAGGGCCACTGGTCTTTTATAATATAGATAAGATCTACAGCTGGTCACCAAATGCAAAGTCAATCTGCTGTTTAACCTTGAAAACAAAATCAAGTTTGCATATTACCACTAACACACATACATATGGGTAATAGAACCATGTTTCATTGAATTTGGGGGAAAGAATAGCTTGGTATTAATACTGACAATATTAAGATAGTATTCTTGTAGGAATACTATGTGCATGTTTGATATTTTGCTGAGTAACAATAATTGTTCAATGTTTAAGAAGAATATTAAGAAAATACAAGGGTAGAATTTAATGCAGTGATCTACATTTTTGGCCCATGGGAAACTGTCGTAGTCATTACCTACATATTAGTTTACGCTGCTGGCTTTTGTGCCCTTGAAGATTATAATAGTGACCAAAATATCTGTGCAACTGAGACTCATTTTGATTATTGTTATTGAAGCCTGATCATAAAAAAAAATAAAAAATACCTTGTGAACTTGCTATCTGATCTGTTTCTAGTTACAACATAATAAAGATTATTTTTCTGTGCTATACTTTTGTTTCTGGATGATCACTAAATAGTTAAAGAAATGGCATTGTACTTACTCTAGAAAATTTTAAACAGGAGGAATGAGGAAGAGAAATGAATGTCAGACCATTCTATCTAATAATAGACAAAGATGGTAATTGACTGTACCTTCGCTATGCCTCCCATTGGCTAATCAGTGTGATATGCAAATTAGCTGCCAACAAAGATGGTGGCTAATTTGCATACTGCAGGCAGGGCGGGACAGTGTGAGCCACTATCCGGGCCCCGTGTGCAGCCCTGCCCCCAGCTGGGACCCCCGTGTGCCGCCTAAGCCCCGCTGCCAGCCAGGACCCCATGGCAATCTGAGGGCAAGAAAGTGCTGCCCCTGGGTCGCCGTGGTGATCCAGCGATTGGTGAGCAGGAAAGTGCGGCCTGTAAGCAGCACCCAGCAAGGCCTGCTCCTGGGTTGCCATGGCGATCCCATTGCAGGAGAGTGGCCTGCAGGCAGCCCCCAGGTGGGCCTGCTCCTGGGTCGCCATGGCGATCCCAGTGCAGGAAAGTGCGGAGGGCAGGCAACCCCCAGGTGGGCCTGCTCCTGGGTCGCCATGGCGATCACAGAACAGGAAAGTGCAGAGGGCAGGCAGCCGCCTGAGTTGCCATGGCAATCACAGAACAGGAAAGTGCAGCTGCAGTCAGCACCCAGGTGGGCCTGCCCCCGGGTCTCCACGGCAATCCAGCGATTCGTGAGCAGTAAAGCATGGCCTGCAGGCAGCAACCCACCATGGCCACAGCTCAAGGGAGAGTACAACACACAGTGGAGGCTCCAAGCCTCCACGGTGTGGCTGGGGGCAGGCCCCCAGCAGACACACACACACACACACACACACACACACACACGGCAACTGCTCCAAGCCTCTGCTGCCAGACTGGGGCCGTCAGTAGGACATCCACTGAGGTCTCCTGGACTGTGAGAGGGGCAGGCTAGGCTGAGGGAACTCCACCCCCCAGTGCACGAATTTTGTGCACCGGGCCTCTAGTATAGATATATTGTACAAAATAAACTTTGTTAACATAGCAACCCGAACCCAGGATTCACCATTATAACATAATTAATGACTTCATTTTATGCCCTTTATTTTATGATTGTAATACAAAATTTCATTTTAAAAAGTCAGTGTAAAATATATTCTGTAACTATTAGCTTTTAATGACTACTTTTAGCAAGGAATTTTGTCCTGTTTGTCAACTTGCAATTGAGTTGTGTGTGTTTTTAATTAATTACTTTAAGTATGTATTATTAGGGTATTCAAATGTAAGTACTAACTCAGATTTTTGTAAAGCTATAATTTTATGTTCGTAAAGTACCAGTGTGCTGTCCTAAATGATGGCAACGTCTCATTACATTTTCTCTAGTAAAAGGTACCTTTGCTCTTCTTTCCAAGTTGGATGTTTTCTGCTTATGAGTCACTGAAAGCATTTTCACTGCCTACTTTCGTCATCACTTTTTAAAAGTAATTTTATGAAACTACATTATATTTTCAAAGTTTGAGAGAGAAAAAACACCCTATTTTTGATAACAGCTTTTTAAAAGTGGGAGAAAGATCTGTGACATTTTGTGGCAAAGAAACTAGGTCTTTATTATAGCAGACACCAAAGCAAAGTGTGAGATGCATTGAAAATTTTACCCCATATGCTAGAATCTCCCCAAGGCGAATCCTATATAATAAATACCTAATATGCAAATGGTTGTCACGCCCTCACACCATCATGCCATAACAGCTCAGACACTCAACACTGGGGAGAGAGGTATGGGGACCAGCCAGGCACAAATGAGCTTACAAGAGAGGAATGGGGACCAGCCAGGATCAAATGAGCTTGCGAGAGAGGAATGGGGACCAGCCAGGCTGCGGCCAGGGAGAGGGACAAGCCATCCGCCCCACGGTCCCAGGTGCCAGCGGCTACGCCTGCACCTGCGCCTGTGGCCCAGGAGAGGGACAAGCCACCTGCCCCGCAGTCCCGGGTACCAGCAGCTGGGCTGCACCCCAGGAGAGGGACTAGCCTCCTGACCCGCGGTCCCAGGCACCAGCGGCTGTGCCTGAGCCTGTGGCCTGGCCCAGGAGAGAAGCCGCATGCTCCGCAGTCCTGGGTGCCAGCAGCTGGGGCTGCGGCCCAGGAGAGGAACAAGCCGCCTGCCCCATGGTTCCAAGTGCCTGCAGCTGCGGCCCAGGCGAAGCCACCTTCCCACAGTCCCCTGTGGCTGCAGCCAGCCCGGATGAAGCTGGCCCGGGTCCTGGGTGCCTGCGGCCAGCCAGAGGGAGGGAATCCTGGGTCCCAGGTGCAGGGTGAAGCAGAGGTGGTTAGGGGAAATCAGGCCAGCAGGGGAGCAGTTAGGGGCGATCAGGCAGGCAGGCAGAGGTGGTTAGGGGTGATCAGGCAAGTAGAGGTGGTTAGGGGTGATCAGGCAGGCAGGCAGGTGAGCAGTTAGGAGCCAGCAGTCCTGGATTGTGAGAGGCAGTCGGACATCCCCTGAGGGGTCCCAGATTGGAGAAGATGCAGGCCGGGCTGAGGGACACTCCCCCCACCCCCGGTGCATGAATTTTGTGCACCAGGCCTCTAGTTTGTTTTATAATACAGAAGGTGAAGCTATATTTGTGGCTTAAGACGCTTATAGTTTCAATGTATAGTAACTCAGTAAAATTGATCTTTGCATGTTTATTAAATTCTCTATAAAAGCATCATAGCATTCAGCCCATACAAGATTTAGATGGCCACCATCAATATATGTTAACTTCAGTGGTCCTGGAGATTCTAGCCCACCTTATCTAATTTGTATTATAAGTATTTGTCATATAATTAGATCTAGATGTATGATCCCTTTAATAGAGAAAAGGCCATGTGTGTGCATGTGCGAGGGGAGAGAGAGAGAGAGAGAGAGAGAAAGAGAGAGAGAGAGAGAGAGAGAGAGAGTTAGTTTTAGGTGCATAGGAAAAATCTGGAAAGATGCACACCAAAACATTGATGTGGTAATCTGGGGAAAGTAAGAAGGAATTTGGGATTAGGCAAAAGGGAATTGTATTCCAGTATGTGGATGCACTATAATTTCTTATTAAAGGACAATTAAGATGTTTCCAGTACTGCATAAATGCCTTTTATATATCTAGTGTAATTGTAAAGTCTATTTTCAGACTGAAGTCTACATGATGTACTCCCTTTACTTGAAATTATGCATGACTCCCTCTAACAAAAGTGAATTTCTCTTTTAAGCCCCTTTTATTAATAGAAGTAAAAGCAATTAGTCCTTTTAGGATTGTGGTTTTACGCCACTTATGGAATTTGGGTCAGAGTTTCAGAATCTTACACAAGCCCAGATGGCTGGAGCATTTGGACATTGTTTCAGCTGTCCATTTCCCCCATCAGGTCTGGTGCCTTTTAACTATTTTTGTGCCACATATGGGTTTGTGAAATTACTTTTATAAATTTTCCCATTGGCATATCTATGTCTTTTCTACCCAGGTTCTTGCTTCTACTTTGCCCTTTCTGTTGTGCCTTTAATTTTATATTCTCAAGGTTGATAATTTTGCATTCTATTTTTAATTTTTTTTTATTTTTCAATTACAGTTGACTTACAATAATTACTTTCTATTTTTTAACCATAGCTAATTTTTTGTGGTTACCTATCATTAATTCTAAAATCAGAAAATAAAAACAGCATTCACATTATAATACCATTACATTATTTTATATATCCTATATAATAAAAGCCTAATATGCTAAGTGTTCGACGGTTCATTCAACCATTTGACCAATTGCTATGATGCACACTGACCATCAGGGGGCAGATGCTCCAAACAGTAGGTTAGCTTGCTGCTGGGGCAAGATGGGCTGGACACACCCTGGAGCCCTGCTGTGGTCCCTCCGCGGCCTGTAAAATATTTATTATAATTAATTTCCTTTCAATGTGCACAAATTTGTGCACTGGGACTCTAGTCATATAATGATATGTAGTAATTTATATATTTTTTTAATTCGAGCTGAGTTGTGTGCTTAGTTTACTTTCTCTTCCTATGGACCTAATGTCATGACGACACCACTAAAGAGGGAATATTCCTAGAGTGATGGTTTGTTTTTGTTTTTTATTCCCAACAAATTATTTTACCATA